CCTGAGCTTCCATCGTCCTCCTTTAGTGAACATGAAGAGAGCACACAGGACTTTTTGGATGAGATATTTGAGTCTCTTTCAGGAGATACTCTAATGTTTGATTCTTTCTGGCTTGATTTCTGAGAATTTAATGAGATTTGCGATTGGGTTTTTGAAAGGAAATCAGTTTTTGTTGATGTGTGTTTTTTCATCATAGTTTAACCTTAAACATTGACTGAAAATATTTTTGATATAAATAGTTGTTCGCTTGTTAATTTGAATTTATTCCACAATATTCACAATTGAAACTGTATTTTAAACAAATCTAATATTGTCCGTAGTATTACTGCAAAAGGTTGAATTATGACAACATCATTTTATGTTATTACTGCGCTTTAATGTATCATTTGGAAAACACACTTTAACCAAACTTTTCTTAAATCACACCAGTAAAATTATCTGAATATATAGGCTTACAAGAAGGAACTATAGCCAAATGTCAATACCAAAAATATTTATATTTTGGTCAACATATGTTTTTATTTTAGCCTACTGTATGAATAATTTTTCATCCACACATTATGTTGTAAGTATTTTTTTTAACTTTGATTTACAAATCATATGATTTGCGCTAGTTATAATGAAATTTATGTTTGTTAAATTATAGTGCAACTACAGAAACCTGATGTTATGATATATGTCAAAAATGCATGAATGCAAAAGTCTTCTTGTTTTTTACATAGAAGATTCAAATCATTAAAATTGTTATTTTCCTAGTCTTATAGCCCACTTAGCCGGGTGACTAAGTGGGCTTCCTTGCACTGATTAGGCTATAGTACAGAAAGCTGCTAATTGCTGCGTTTATAATACTTACTTGGCCACACACTTTTTACTTTGTCGCACACCAGTATTCCAACCAAACAACATAAAAAAGTGTGCTTTTATAATAAAAAATGTTCTCAAATTATAATTCTTCACGCATTATTCATCATTTTTCCAGAATTTCTCAATTTTTTTTAATAGTTATGTATACTAAATACAGGGTGGCTGAAAAGTAACTGGCAACCTTCTTAGATATGAGGGGCTACAATAATTATGGTTAATTTTGCCCTTGGTGGGGGTAGGGGATGGCTCAAAATGTTCATATGACAAGTATAGTCAAGTTTGGTATTATTTTACAGGTCTCGACGAAACATAAAAATTGACATAGAGAAAACTAAAATCGGCCCACTAAAAACAAAATGGCACCCTAAAACGTTTCAAATCAAAATAACCATGAGTGGCTGAAAATTAACTTGCATCCCCATTAATTTTTTAACTATTTGAGAAATTTGATATCGGTTTGCAGCGACTTGTTTGGATATAAAGGGCTACAATAATTATGGTCAGTTTTGAAAATTTTGCCCTTGGGGGTAGCGGTGGTAGGGGGTAGCTCAAAATTTTCAAATGACAAATATACAGTAGAACTCTTTAATCCGAAAGTCCACTAATCCGAACGCCTCACTGCTGTACTCTATGCACAGTACAGTAGTTTTTTTTTATTGATGTACGCATTGTAATTATTTCAATTGTAATGCACAGTACTGTTTATTCCCTATGTTTACTACTGGGGCGTAAAGAGGGTAATATATGACACACCAATAATCCAAGGGTGAAGAGTAACAAGAAACACTAGAGAGTAGAGGTGGCACATGGGCGGAAGCCGTGGGTGGATGGCGGATGACAACGTCTTGGGAAGAGGGTAGCCAACTTGTAGATTGAGTAGAGATGAGGGAAGTGTGCACACTTTTGGGGAACACTTGTGGGAAATCCAGTAATCGTAATCCACTAAAGTTGGCACTTAACACAGGTTCCTGGCACGCGCGGCGGCAGACGGAACTGCTTAGCGGCGGCAACAATAACGTACTAAATAACTTATTAAAAAAAAAACACCTTTTACAGAGTTTGACGTCGAGAAAGTTTTATTAATTGTTCGTGATGAACGATAGAAGAGCGGTAGTGAGTCCGAGAAGCGGTTTTAGCGGTAAAAGTTTATAAATAGAGAAAGACTAACGAAATACGGCGCAATGCACGTATTCAGCCGAGGAGAGTTACATTTCAACTGAACATTATTTTTGGAGGGGGAAGGGACGCTACCTCAATGTTTCTTAGAGGGGTACCGCAAATTTATCCATGTCCATATCACGTTTCCTGCATCAGGCAACACAGCCGAGATAGTGTGTGTGTTTTGTGTAGGCTTGTGTGAGTGAGACTCTAACATTTGATACAAAGTTACTTAATCAAATTGAAATGAGATTTAAAAATACAGATTTGGTTTGGAAATAAGCTATCACTAATTGAACAATAATTATAATGATAAATATAGTAATAATAATTAATTAAATACAGAAGAACTACTGTATTAAATAAACACTGTGTTTTACTTTATAAAGCATTTTTAACTTTTCCCTAGCTATTGTTATGTAAAAACAACAATATGTTCTGTAATCCGAACTATTCAATAGTCCGAACTACCCCCGGTCCCAATTAGTTCAGATTAAAGAGGTTCTACTGTAGTCGAGTTTGGTATAATTTTATAGGTCTTGACAAAATTATTTCAATTATTAACAATTAACATAAAGAAAATAGAAATCGGACCTTTAATAACTAAATGGCAGCTAAAAATGATTAAGACAATGGTTATTAAAAGTAATTTTTAACTGCCATTTTGTTATTAATGGTCCGATTTCTATTTTCTTTGTGTCAGTTGTTATGTTTTGTCAAGACCTGTAAAATGATACCAAACTCGACTATACTTGATATTTGAAAATTTTGAGCCACCCCCTACCCCCGCTACCCCTAAGGGCAAAATTTTCAAAACTGACCATAATTATTGTAGCCCTTCTTATCTAAACAAGTCGCTGCAGACCGATATTAAATTTCTCAAATAGTTAAAAAATTAAAGGGGATGCAAGTTAATTTTCAGCCACTCTCATGGTTATTTGGATTTGAAACGTTTTATGGCGCCATTTTGTTTTTAGTGGGCCTGTAAGATGATGCCAAACTTGACTATACTTTTCATTTGAACATTTTGAGCCACCCCCTACCCCCCACCAAAGGCAAAATTTTCAAAATTAACCATGACTAGAGGACCCATGCTGCTCCGCAGCGTTAAAATAAATTTAATATCTGATAAATAATCAAATTTATGATTTTTTATTGAGTAATACAGTACCGGTATCTTGAGCTTAACTGATTTAAACGTTTAATAGCTAAAATTAAAGCCTATAATTTATTGATTATTTTGAGTCTAAAACATATAAAAAACATGAGCAATACTGGAGCTATTGATTTGTAATCATAGAAAATCCTTATGAAAAACAATTTATGTTGGTTGTTCGTCTTGCGTCTGCTTGAAACTCGTCCAATTTGAATAACTAATAGATTTAAAAAAAACCAGTATTTCACTGAAGGTTCTTAGACCTAAATATATAGCATTATATAATTATAACTGGTGAAATACATCTTAATTTGAGGTAATCGTAAAATAAAAAATGACTCAAATTATATTGATGCTTGATGTGAAATCTTTACTTGCATACATTCAATTTGAGACCTCAATCATGAAAATTGGTCGGGTAGAATAGCTAAACGAACTCGGCAAAGAGAAACCAAATTTACCTTCTATAGGAAATACATAGAGAGCAAATTTCGTTCAAGTATAAACCGAGTGAGACTATAGATACATTTATGCCGATGCATGATGACAAACCTGTGCGTGCATACCTTCAATTCGATACCTCAATCGTTAAAATCGGTCGAGTAGAAGAGCCAAACAAACTCGGCAAAGAAAACCCAAATAAACCCAAATTTAACTCACATAAGAAATACATGGGGACCAAATTTAGTTTACGTATATGCCGTGTGGGATTATAGTTACATTTATGCCGATGCTTGATGGAAAATCTATACGGGCATACCTTCAATTCGAGACCTCAATCATTAAAATCGGTCGGGTAGAAGAGGCAAACGAACTCGGCAAAGAAAACCCAAATTTAACTCCCAGAATAAATTCATGGGGAGCAAATTTTGTTTACGTATATGCCGAGTGGGATTATACATACATTTATGCCGATGCTTGATGGCAAATCTGTACGTGCATACCTTCAATTCAAGACCTCAATTATTAAAATCTGTTGGGTAGAAGAGGCAAACGAACTCGGAAAATAAAAACCCAAATTTTTTTAATATATAAGATTACTGTAGCCCCTCATAGCTAAGAAGGTTGTCACAAACACATTTAAAATACTATCTCAAATGGTTGAAAAGTTAAGGGGGGTGTAAGTTACTTTTCAGCCACCCTGCATATGTTGAGTAAAAGGTCATTAACTGGTAATTTTGTAATACTTTCTTACATGACTGGCGTGGTTTCAATTTTTAAATAATTCTTAATGCAGACTTTTGTTTTTTGTAATTTAAATATTTGTTTACTTTTGGATAAACTTGAGACCCATATAGGTATTGCATATCTAATGTTGGAAATAATTAACGAATGATATACAGTTAAGTAATGCGTCTTCACTACAGAACATACAACAGACAATCTTCTTAGTATAAAAATAATTTAGGAAAGTTTTTTACATGCTAAGTCCTAGGAATTTGATTGTTTCTACTTCTTCTATATGTTGATCATCAATTAAAATATTTAAGTAGAAATCTTTTTTCATTTTATCTCTGATTGAAAATTCCATATATACCAAAAGGCAACCAAATATTTTTTGACATCATTTCTATTATTGCACCTATTAATTTTAGTCAGAACTTATAATTAAAGTTTTGACTAATTTTAACGACACCATGGATGCTTTGCAAACACTGCCAGCAATGCCCTGTGCGTTGGGGCCCTGTCCCTGGCCGCGCCCTATGTGGCCGCGTGGTCATCGTGCCAGCCCTGACTCTAACTAATAGACTAGCCTATGTAGACTCTGTCATAACTTACAGTAAAGATACTACATGAACATAGAGGAAAACAATAAAACATATTTCACAAAAAGAAAAATATTCCTTTAATTAATATAGATACATTCTACACCCCATCATTCACGCTTTCTTTTCAAAAACTTACAATGTATTTGTAACACTAGGGAAAGATGCTTGAGTTTAAACGGTGAGTTTTGTGGATTATCAAAGTCAGTGAATTACTGATGTTCTGAAAAAGCACCAACATCTATAATACCATTGAAAGTTCCAGAAATTGTAAAATAAAATTTAACTTTTTGATGTTAATAATGAGTGAGGAATTATGTGGTAATTGTTTGTCAAAAATATGCAAATGAACTCCGTTTACTATCTTGCACCAAATAAAAATGCTTGTAACTCAACTGGTTGGTAAATTACAAACTAAACCTACTTGCCAAACATATAGGTGTATAAAAATGCTTACCATAGCATTCCTTATAATTAAAGTTAACATTTTAGTTGTTTTATTGTTTATTTTACACTAACTATAAATGATATTCTTGGTTTAGTATGGAATTATAACCAATTTCTTTAGTTAACCTTGATCAGACAAAAAGAAATCAATTTGACAATCCACACAACACTTATCAGGAGAAAAGTTCAAAGACTTAAAGAGAAAATGACAACGCCAATCCAGTATAGCTTAGCATCTACAACATTACACACAGAATGTTGATAAACTAAATAAAGGCATGATTGCGGAATAACTTTTTTACTAAGTATATTAAAACCACTCTACAGTTGACAATTGGTTAACTTACATAAAATAAAATAATATAATCAACAACAACATCACAAGCAGGAAAAATTCAAATCAACTCAACAACACGACAAAGAGTTGAAATAACAATATTTTACCTGTTATCAAAGAATTTGTAAAATGATCACTGTAGCAATTTATAGTATGGCAGAAAAAAAATATAAAAGATTTCTAATCCTTCCTATACACACAGCTGCGTTAAAATTGGTATAATAAATCCAAAATATAGCCTTAAAATTAATAGATAAACATTTCATAAAATAACTATAGGCTTTTCCGGTATGAATATTGTATAATTTGGATTAGCGTGTCAGAAGGTAACTAATTCAGTCAATAAAAAACTCTTCAGTGAGACTTGTCGGATGAACGTCGGAATGTTAGCTGTGTGTCAGCTGACTGTTTGACAGAAGCCTTTCTACAGCAGCATTGATGTCTCCAAATGTTGCTATCAGGGCTGTAACATGACACAACTTGAGGTAGAAAGTTTTTATTAAACTGATATGTAGGCTACCCAAATAATTAATCTCCTGTTAGGCAAGTGGAACCCCTCTATTAACTTCTTAATAGGTTGTATCAGGAAAACCTAACTTTTGCACACCTCTGCACAAAAAAAATCCAAAATACAGAGAGAGCCAATGTTGAAACTAGTAATGGCCAATGGCACAAAAAATTCCAAAATACAGAGAGAGCCAATGTTAAAACTAGTAATGGCCAACGGCACAAAAAATTCTAAAATACAGAGAGAGCCAATGTTAAAACTAGTAATGGCCAACTGCACAAAAAATACCAAAATACAGAGAGAGCTAATGTTGAAACTAGTAAGGGCCAACCACACAAAAAGTTGGGAAAGTTCTAATCCTTGTTTTAATTTTAGTCTAATGAGTTGTAGGCCTTGGTTATGTCTGGCTCAGTTTACACTAGTGGTCTGCAGACTACATAAATTTTTCAAACCGCGTAGAGTCAAAATATTTTGGCCGTTGCTTCATAAAGTATTGATAAAAAAAATTCTAACTGTTTTATTACAATAGATTTTTAAATAATCATTTATATAATCTCCCCCATATTGTGGTACAATCTAGAACATCTTCCACAGTCATAGCAACATCAAGAACATCTGCAGAAATGACAATTCGTAAATATCTCCTGCGGTTACACGGAAATCTAGAAAACCTTTATAGGTCTTGGCAAAGTTGTAAACCTCTTCCACAGTCATGGCTACATCAAGAACATCTTCTGCAATCACGGCAAAATCGTGACTGTCTTCCGAGATCATAGTGAAATCACAGTTGCCTTCAGCAGTCACAGTAAAATCTAGAACACCTTCCACGGTCACAGCAAAATTGAAAACAACTTCCATGGTCCGGCATACTTGTGAACATTTTCTGCAGTCATTGCTACTTCATTGTCTCCTACGATGCAGCATATCCCTCAACATCACACATGATCATGGATGACAATCATGATAATAGATTTTTCTGCTATCATAAAATTAAAAGCTCAGCACGTCTCACCCGAACCGACCTGAAAATATTGGAGACCCGCTAACCTCTAGTTTATACATGTTTCAACAAATAATTATTGTAAACTAATAAAACCATTAGAGAATTTTAACCATATATTAAATAAAAGTCTTGAAATTAAATAGACCTACAAATCTTCTTATAAAAATAGGGATGGGCCGATTCCAATTCTCGATACCAGTGGTATCGAAGAATCGCCGATACTTGATACTTCGCTTCATTGTAGGCTACTCGATACCGATTCTGAAAAGTGAGGTTAATTATGATGCTAAACTCAACTGACATTGGCGTGGCACATCATAGTTTATTTGGAATACTCTGAAGTAAGCTAATATAAATAATTCTAAGTTCATTATCTCACATACGTAATATGAACTCTTCCTTAGTTGAAAATGCTGTCAGTGACAGTGAAATATTCTAATGTTTTGTGTATATAGTGTAAAGTTATGTTTTGTGTTTCCTGTGCCAGTTTGGACTCTTTCCCATTCAGGTAAGCCTGCTATCCCCTCAAAAAATCCTAAAAAATCTAGGCCCTTGTGCTCTATGCTACACCCTTCACATACGTAATAGTTTTATAATCCAAAATAGCTTGCCGTTGCATTTCACAACGAATGATGTGAAGTTGTGATCAAGCCTATCTTATTTTCCGTATAGGGTAACCTAATCTATGTAACCTTAATCAATAGCAATGCAGTTATCTTATTGTATAAAGATTAAATAAAAATAACATGCTCCTTTATATAGGGACAGCGATAAGCACACATAAGTTATATGTGTTATTAAATGAATTTTTTACAGGTATCGGTATCGAGTGCGGAATCAGGAATCAAAACTTTAGTTGTAGAATCGGAATCAGTATCGGAATCGACCAATTCTAGAATCGGCCCATCTCTAATAAAAACTAATCTGTAAACAAAAAATTGTGTAACGGGTTACCTTGCAGATTAGCCTCCCTGTTGACAAAGCCCATAGCAGTGAGTTGTTCCAGTTGACTACGGTACCTCTCCTCCGGGGGTTGACTGGAAGCGTTGGGGCCTTGACCTGCCATACCCGCAACCTGCAGCACAAACACGATTAGGTCGAGAAAAAGGCAGCTTTTACATGTAAGGTGGCTGATGGGGGTGTGCATAAATGTTGAACACACAAATCGACTAAAATACTTTTTTTATACTTTTTTCAGTTAAATTTGCATTTCAACATAAACATTTGAATTTTGATACAGTCAAATTTAGTAGCAAGATAAGAGTAAAAAGTAGGAGGATGTAAGGAATTGTACATTAATTTAGGGGCAGGACGAGATTTGTAATTTTTCCCAAATTTCCAAGACATAAAATAGGACAGGAATTTTATTCATCATCTATAACGGCAAAAGCGTTAACATATCTCGCAATTATGGAACCGTCATCAATTGTAACTCATGATAGCAGGGAAATGGCTGGCAGTTGGAATAAATTGTGTTTTGAGAAAATTCCTACTAAAAAATGTAGGCTATAACAGGGGGATATATTTTTCTTGAAAATTTCAGGATCACATCTCTAGTAAAATGTAATGATTTTCTAGTCGTAAGTGAAGGAATATTGTTTTATTTCTTTGTGAATCGTGCCTGTTTTCTGGGTAGAGTGATTTGAGGAGTTTTTAGTACGGCTAACAGTGCTGAACCTGCCATTTGAAAATAACTACCAAATCTATTGTATTGTATTGCTGTGACGTAAAATTCTAGGGGGGGGAGGGATAAACTAGTATACACAAAGTCAGACTAAACCTACCCCTACAACCAGCCACACTCAAATTTCTTAACCGGAATGATCAGAAGGAGTCGAGAAAAATCCAGGGGTCAATACGAAGTTGTTCACGGTTTTGATTGATCAATTAATTTATTAAATTTAATTTATGGCTCAGGGGGAGCTATATCATCCGCACCATCGTTTGAGTGTTTTGGGGAAATTTTGCCTGACTTTTTTTAAATTGACTCTGTAGGACCGACGAGTATTCTATCTCAGCCAATGTGATAAAATACTAAATTCAAAGTTATTTGGTGGAGACATTGGTATATAAAATAGAATATAATATAAATTCCTAAAGAGTCTAATTAATAAATGCAAACGAAGAATTCAGTGTGATACAGTTAAAACAAATTTAATACTAATATTCGTGATTAATTGTTCAAATCTGAACACTCCCAAGGCCTGATTCTATCACCGCCAATGACGGGGTTCAGAACTCAGACGACAAGTCTCGGGGTATTAAAACGACAAATTTTAAAACTAAAATAAATGTACATAATAATTATTCGTTAAGCGGACAGAGAAATCGTAGTTTCGTACCTAATTGATTTAAATGAAACCAAACGATAGCCACCAGTAGTCAGTCACTGGCAGTCAGAAACTGGCGGGTCTAGACTCAAATTTAAGTTATTAAAATTTAGATATTTAAAATCAAATTTACAACAAAACAAGAAACAAGAATAAAAAACAAGAAGAAGAAACAAGAATGCGAATGTTAAACAAAAATTAAATGCAAATCGTGGTAATGTAATTATCTAATGTGTTTATATCTAGGCTAGTTTAGTACTTTTACTTTATACTTGACACTATTTTTGTACCCATGTACATGTAAGGAAAATAAAGATGTTTTGATTTGATTAATATAGCCCTTCTATCAAATTATCGATGATCATGTAAGCGTAGGTAACGGACGAGTGTTAACGAGGATACTTCAAAGACGGTGTACAAACAAACAATTCTCTTCCATGGCCAAATCAAGGTTTCAGCTCGGTCGAGTTTTATGCCTCAGATAGCGCTTTTGGTGGCGAGTTTAATGTCTACTCAACAGCTGATCGGACATTTATCTGTTATGCTAAACTTCGTCTGTTGTCTGTCAACAACCACCAGTCTTGAGGTTATGTCATGTCGTCGTTGGTGTAAAATATTTGCAAAATCGGTCGGTTTGACATTTTTCGATGATTTGGGGTGTTATTACTGATAAATATGTTGTGTAAGTGTGTGTATATACTTCACTGCGATTAAGACTAGGCCTACGTTCTTATAGGTCTAGTTGTAGGCTATTGTGGATGAAAACTGGTAAGTTCTGGTGTTTGTTTAATAGCCCCCCCCCCCTTAAATTTGGTAACGTACCTTAAAATGCATGGTATATGGGGCTAACCATTCTGCAATGTGAATGTGGAATGGAGTATAATATACCCTAAGTCAGACGGTTAAGAAAGTTTTATTCACCTGTGTCCCTCTGGTATAACTATAAGTTTTTTTTTTTTTTTTTTTTTTTTTTTTTTTAACCTTGCCGATAATTAAATACGGGCTAGTCTGGAAAATAAACAACCAACTAGTTTTTCTAGAAAAAAAAACATCCAATGAAGCACACAAGTGTTTTGGATAGTCTGCTCACCATTCTAGCCATAAATTGTGAAAACATGTCCTGTCCTGCAGGTGCAGCTGGTGCTGCCGGTGCTGCAGGTGCAGCTGGTGTCCCTGTGGTGCCTGTGGTGTTGCTTGTGGTGTTAGTTGAGGGTGTGGTGGAGTCTGGGGCAGGCGTGGTGCCTGGTGTCCCTGGAGGAATAGACTGACCCATTGTGCCTAGTCTGAAATGGAAACACATCAATAACCATCACTGTTACTATCCAAAACAGAGATACCTTATGTGTTAAACATGCAACAGCAGTAAATTTGGGACGACTTCCTATGTTACAGTAAAGTGAAAGTGTAATGAAACATTAATTTATTACAACACAAACTCCTGTCAGCTGACAAAAGACATAGGTTCGTTGACTTTGAACATATAAGTTAGACAAAACAACTCTCAGCTACATTTAACCTCACAAATGCTCAAACTAATAACGGAAAAAAACTTTAACTTAAACACCATAAATAATCTTAGGTCTATACATCTAGTATTAGTGCCTTGGCAAAACACTTATTTGACCACAATAAGTTACAAATTGGGGACTTTTTCTGGTAGATTAGTTATATCTAACTGGGAATTTGTAGCAACATAGTTTGACATGCTACCAATGTGTTTTTATTTTATGTTTGATGTTATCTGAACTTTTGTTAGTCGAGAGTCTAGTATAACATCATGAGATATACGTACGTGTTGGCCAGTCCTGGCACAGTCGTGTACAACTGTTCCATTCCCTGTTGTATCTGTTGTACAGCCCTCAGAGCCTCAGGGTTAGTCATCAGTTGTTGCATGGCAGGATTCTGCATCTGCTGCAGTAGAGTGGGCATCATCTCCCTCATTTGACTCTGGACAACATCACATAACACATAAATTACAGAACAACTGCTCAAAGGTTTGAAAAGATACAGTATAACCTCCCTGGCAAAATAATGACTAAACCATAGCGAGAAATTATAGTGTGTAAAGGAAGAAAAGATGAACTGATCAAACGAAGGGGGTAATAGTGTCCCGGATGATATTGTTGACCTTGAATAAATGCTTTCTTGACATGATTTTCCGAGTAAGCCAAGCAAAAACAATGAAAAATTAAACAAGAATGGTGCTGTAGCTGAGTGCAGTTGAGACAAAGCTCAAGGCTCAGTGACTCAGAAGAAAGCCTATTTGTATTGAACTTTGCCTGGCATATATTTATCTTCAACCTAAACTCTGGATAAGTCATATATTAAATTAGAACAAAATAAAATTGTTGTGAACTATTATTAGCTATGTAAAAAAATATTAAAGACAGACAAGACTTTTAGACTTGACAAAAAAATAGATGTGTATATTTATTGGACATTATTTTACAATCATAATAATAATAAAACATGTGTTAGTTCAATTAAAATAAAGAAGGCAGGCATAAATTAAACATATTAAAGAACACAAATCAATGAGTCAATATGAAACATATTACATCTTTTCCCCTCCAACGGTAAGGACTGCAACTTTAGTCAGAGGCCGTCCCGGGTTTCGGCACCAAATGTAAAAAAAATATTAAAGACAGACAAGACTTTTAGACTTGACAAAAAAATAGATGTGTATATTTATTGGACGTTATTTACAATCATAATAATAATAAAACATGTGTTAGTTCAATTAAAATAAAGAAGGCAGGCATAAATTAAACATATTAAAGAACACAAATCAATGAGTCAATATGAAACATATTACAAGCTATGAATGGGTCCCAAAATTTCTGGAAATGTATGCAAAAACATAATATTTCTGATTTTCAGGACAGGATTACATTTCATTCGGGAATTTTTTGGGACAAGATTTGATCCTATCGTCGGCGGTTTTGCCGCTTCGCGAGTGACGTTGACAAGTCATTTTTACGATCGCGTCACGACAATCGCGCCGTGACCGCGAGTAAATTTGACGATCGCGGCCTGACCAGAGGCCAGAGAGTCATGAACGACGATCTTGCCGTGACCGCGGAGTCATACCGACAATCACGCTGTGACCGCGAGTCACACTGACGATCGTGCCGTGACCGCGGAGTCATACCGACAATAACACCGTGACTGCGGAGTCATAACAACAATCATTCCGTCACTGAATGTCATACCAACCATCACCCCGTGACCGTGGAATCAAACCGACGATCATGCCATGACCGGGGAGTCATACCGACGGCGAGTAACAAGTTTCTATAAGGCCTACGGAGTTATTTTCAGTTGCATTTGATCCATTGGTGACTTGCAAGATTTGAACCTAGAACTCCGGGGACTTAAGTCCTGCACTTAACCACTATACCAGCCTGCTTGCCATATTTTTTAGTTGCAGTAGTGATGTCCTTACTTTGAAAGGGTCTTATTTAATAGCTTCAAAATAGAGAAAGTTATTGGTTTCATAGAGAGACAAACTTAAAAGCATTTAATCGTTTATTACCTATTTACAATTTGTTTATGTTTTTTTTTTACCAATACCAATGAGAAATTGTTTGTATATAAGAAAAATCAAAAATCAAATTATAGAGAAAACAATGTTTTTCAAAACATTACTACTCAGCAGACTAATTTTTCTCACCTGCAGCGCAGGGTTGCCAGCCAACAGTGGGTTGTTGGCCATTATGTTCTGAGCCAAACTAGGGTCCGCTGCCAGTGCTTGTATCAGTGACTGGGTGTAGGGAGCACTCATCATGTTCTGCATTAACTGAGGGTTTTCCATCATCTGTCCCATGAGAGACTGCATGGAGGGGGGCGTCGTACCCCTTGTGGCCCCCTCTCTACCCCCCGCCCCAGCACCAGTCCCTGGTGTACCTCCGCCCCAAGGGTTAGGCAACGGGTCTCTGTTCTCCTGCCCTTGCTGCGGGTTAGATGCCGCATCTGGAAATTTGGGTACATAAATAACGTGTTGTAAACAAGTCCAAAGTAAATCGTTAAGAATATGGACATACCTTGTGTTTATATAACCTTTTAACTTAAAATTTTAGGTCATGTCCTAGCCACAATTTCAGTCAAAATACTCAAAATATAGATATAAAATATAAGAACAATAATTAGAACAACAAGAACCTTTTATACTAACTTTCTTGTTGTTCTAATTATTGTTCTTATATTTTACATCTATATTTCTACTGAAATTGTTTTAAGAGTGCCACCATTGAAGATGGAAATTTTGTCCCAAGCTACATTTATTTTTATTTTGAATTACTCATTTTAATTCTTTTTGCATGCTTAATGCTACAATTTAATTGGCATATGATGTTTTATGGAATTGTAAAGTAAAATAAATAAATAAATACATTCACAGTATTTTTTTTCTCATAATATCAAAATGCCTACTTACCAGGGTTACTTCCAGGAACAGCGTAAGGGTTGCGACTGAACTGTTCAGTGGCTGCATTTAACATCGGCTCCTGGATGTCTCGATACATTCGCTGCAGAGCGTTATATCCTCCTACAAAGGGTTAGAGAGCTTATACACACAGTCTAGACACATACATCTCAAAGGAGATAGATTTACAACTGGATATAAAGAGTACAAACTTTAAAAAACGTTAGAGGTTTTTAAATTTTTCTTTTTCTTCTTTTTTTTCTTTATAAAGACATGACAGTTGAGAGTTTATCATCCAGAATACGATTGGGGTCTCAGGGTGCACGGCAAACTGATTTTTCAGTATCTGACTGACTGATGGCAGTTTCAAATTTTAAAGATAAGTTCCTTAAAGTAGTTAATATACTAATCGATTATAATGGACTTACAAGTTCTTCAAATATGTGATGATTTGTAAAATTTTCTTACAGTCCCTCGTTTTCATGGACTTTTACTTTGAACAAAAGGTCGAAATGTTAACTTAGACCAGGTTATATAACTTTTTTTGTGATAGGTCTTTCTTCTCAACATACATGACGAGATTCATTAAGATTGGTTGAACATTTTTAAATATATACATTTTCCTATAAATAATAAAATATGGTTGATATCTTGTAAATAAGGCGACGAGATTCATTAAGATTGGTTGATCATTTTCAAATACCTATATACATTTTCGTGTAAATAATAAAATATGGTTGATATCTTGTAAATGAAGTGTTTTAGAAAAAAAAATTATTCTTGACTGATAGAAACACTGGTACAAGAGTTTGTCACTTTACTTATGGGACAAATTTTAACCTCTAAATCTACTGAATACATTTTTTCAGTACATTTGTGAAACCAAAAGCGTGGGTGGTACATTTGTGACTATCAAATTTTAATAATAATTATTTCACTAGTCCTTTGATTTTGGAACCATCCAAGTTTAACTGTATAAACAACATTGCCTTCACCTACCAGGGATTGACTCTAGATTTGACATGGCTCTATCCTGAGATCTCATTAGTTCTTGCAGCATGGCTGGGTTACGGGCCATGTCCATCGTCTGCCGTAGCAAGTCTGGGTTGTTCAACAGGTGGTTGATCTCCGGGTTACGCTGTGGAAAATGATTAAATCAGTCAAACTCATCACAAAACAATCGACAATGTGTAAAGGGTCAAGAACACAGCAAGTAGTTGGTAAGTTTATTATATGTCGAGTGCATGATACTTTCCACTCACACGATAGCCATGTTAATGGCATGTAAAAACCATGTGGTGACATTTGTAAGCTGCAGGTTCTTTATTCTTCAGCAATACATTTTATGTGGCTTGTCCTCTGTGATTATATTATTGCCCATGGTTTGACCTACATTACTCTTTTCCCATTTCATAATGCCTAATTAACTCATTTTTGACCATTGTTGATTCAGCTACGACTTCAGTTAGAACCAATTCCTCCAACATTATAAAGAATAACCCTACTTGTTGCTTGTGCACAATCAATGGTGAGTTTATTTGGCTAGTTTACAATCGAGTTCACTAAACAGGCTGTGAGTGATGTGTAAAGTTACTGGCAGTCAACTTTTTCCAGAGCATTTTCAGTAGCAGCTTATTAAGCAAATGTAATAACTTTTTCCAGAGCCTTTGGATATTTGTATACCATGTTGGATTAACTGTGGCTTTCAGTTATCCATAGTCTCTCACCCCTCCCAACCACCCCGTATAATTGAGTTTCTATTGTATACCTAACCATTGTAATGAACAGTCTAAACCCATTGACTACTTCTATCTAAAGGTTTACCTCAATAAGCTCCTGCATCTGAGGGTTGGAGAGAATCAATTGCCGCATATTGTTAGGGTCACCCATGATCTGCTGCACCAGGGGGTTGTCCATCAATGTCCGCAACATGTCAGGGTTGCGCAACAACTCTCGCTGCATGTTCTGCTGCATCTCCAACAGACTACCAGAGCCCATACCTAGAGCCTCTAAGCCACCTAGTCCTCCCAGAGCTCCAAGACCAAAAGGTGTCGCTGCCACATCTGCAACATTACACGAGTGTCAACAACACGTTGCGCAACAACTCTCGCTGCATGTTCTGCTGCATTTCCAACAGACTACCAGAGCCCATACCTAGAGCCTCTAAGCCACAAGTCCTCCCAGAGCTCCAAGACCAAAGGGTGTCACTGCCACATCTGCAACATTACACGAGTGTCAACAACACGTTGCGCAACAACTCTCATTGCATGTTCTGCTGCATCTCCAACAGACTACCAGAGCCCATACCTAGAGCCTCTAAGCCACCTAGTCCTCCCAGAGCTCCAAGACCAAAAGGTGTCGCTGCCACATCTGCAACATTACACGAGTGTCAACAACACGTTGCGCAACAACTCTCGCTGCATGTTCTGCTGCATCTCCAACAGACTACCAGAGCCCATACCTAGAGCCTCTAAGCCACCTAGTCCTCCCAGAGCTCCAAGACCAAAAGGTGACGCTGCCACATCTGCAACATTACACGAGTGTCAACAACACGTTGCGCAACAACTCTCGCTGCATGTTCTGCTGCATCTCCAACAGACTACCAGAGCCCATACCTAGAGCCTCTAAGCCACCTAGTCCTCCCAGAGCTCCAAGACCAAAAGGTGTCGCTGCCACATCTGCAACATTACACGAGTGTCAACAACACGTTGCGCAACAACTCTCGCTGCATGTTCTGCTGCATCTCCAACAGACTACCAGAGCCCATACCTAGAGCCTCTAAGCCACAAGTCCTCCCAGAGCTCCAAGACTAAAGGGTGTCACTGCCACATCTGCAACATTACACGAGTGTCAACAACACGTTGCGCAACAACTCTCGCTGCATGTTCTGCTGCATCTCCAACAGACTACCAGAGCCCATACCTAGAGCCTCTAAGCCACAAGTCCTCCCAGAGCTCCAGGACCAAAGGGTGTCACTGCCACATCTGCAAAATTACACGAGTGTCAACAACACGTTGTGCAACAACTCTCGCTGCATGTTCTGCTGCATCTCCAACAGACTACCAGAGCCCATACCTAGAGCCTCTAAGCCACAAGTCCTCCCTGTGCTCCAAGACCAAAGGGTGTCACTGCCACATCTGCAAAATTACACGAGTGTCAACAACACGTTGTGCAACAACTCTCGCTGCATATTCTGCTGCATCTCCAACAGACTACCAGAGCCCATACCTAGAGCCTCTAAGCCACAAGTCCTCCCAGAGCTCCAAGACCAAAGGGTGTCACTGCCACATCTGCTACATTACACGAGTGTCAACAACACGTTGCGCAACAACTCTCGCTGCATGTTCTGCTGCATCTCCAACAGACTACCAGAGCCCATACAGAGCTTCTAAGCCACCTAGTCCTCCCAGAGCTCCAAGACCAAAGGGTGTCACTGCCACATCTGCATCATTACACCAAACATAGACAGAGACATATTTTATTTGCACATAACATTCTTTACATGTGTTGGTACACACAGAATAGGTGCATTGTCAGAGTTAAATTATCAGATAAAAAATAAAATAGTTTTCAAGAAGATAGTGAATTTAAAAAATTGAAAGATAAAACTATGCTAAACTAAAGAGATGTATTGAGAAAATCTGTGATTGAATAAAAGGCTCTGTCAATTAAGTGTTCACATATTTTATCTTTACGTTGCATCTCCAACGTCAATAGACTGCCAGAACTATAGGCCCCTCTAGAACCTCCAGACCACCTAGTCCATCCAGAGCTACAACATTGTACCAGTGACTTACAGTAAGGATTCAACTTTTAAGTCCTACTTTCAGTTCACTTCACTTTCACTTTCAGATCCTAACTCTTGACAGTAAGTCAGGGTTCTGCACTCACTAATGCTACATTTTATTAAACATATAATGCCAACAGATTGCCTGAAAGTGTTTTCTGATAACTTTTTGTAGGATGTAACGTACTATTACTGATATTTTAGTTTCTATGTTGATATTGCTAGAAAACTTAAAAATATAGGCCTAGATCAGTAAGTTGAGTAATAAATTTCACTCAACTTTAAAATATTCCTCGACCTTTTATCATAGCGTAGAATTTGGAAAAGTTTAAGATGAAATAAAAGATAATAGAAGAAACATTCAGTAAAACGTTAAGGATACTGTTGGCGTAGTTGACAAACTAACTATTCTATAGCCTACAATATTGCATTTGCTTGTTAAAAAAAAAAAAAAAACATGTCACTAACCAGGCCTAGCTGCAGGTGGGGAAGCAGCATTGTTAGCCGGAGGAGCTTCACTGGCCGGAGTATTAGCTTTAATCACCAGATGTACGGTAAGGCCATCCTTGATATTGTGAGTTCCTAGAGTTTCACCATCTTTCATGATCTTGCCAGCAAAGATTAGGCAAAGCTGCTCCGGCTGGGCATTGAACTTGCCTGCCACCAGCACCTTGAACTGTAAAAAAAAATTAACATTGTAAAACGCAGCTGAACTGCAACTTTACACAACGATCGTGCACAAATGGTCTTTACGACATGAGTCTCAATTTATTGCACAGGCCTTAGCAAGTGCCTTAGAAACTTCTACGAGTGTCAGGAAGGCTACGGGAGTTGCTAACACTACTTTATCTACAATCGTTTGTAAAACTTCGTTACCGTACCTATACTCTTTCTATTACTTTTTCCAGGGAATAGCCCCAGAAGCTGGGATAGACTGGTATCGTCTTGTAATTGAGCTAATTGGAGGTCATGAATTGTGGATATAGGCATGCACTGTAGATGAGATACTCCCTGGTGTGGATTAACGTCCTCACTAGTGAGTACTACGATTAACTGCAGTACTTTTTTTTGTTTTTCTTTTGACAATTGTTATGAACTTAGTTTTAACGACAATCAATCATTCATTTTATTTCATTTCATTTAAATAACTTAACTTATTGCATTGAATTTAATTTTACCATTGCCTATGATTTAAAAAAAAAAAACAATAACAAAAAAATTTTATTCGGTAGTTTATTTTTATCCTTAAGCTAGTTTTATTTTTAACTTGTACGACTAAAAATGGAAGAAACTACCATAGGCCTAAGTCGTTGTTAGGCTATATTGATAAGTTTTAAGTTATTGTTTCTTCATAGTACAGTAGAACCTCTTTAATCCGAACTAATTGGGACCAGGGGTAGTTCGGACTATTGAATAATTCGGATTACAGAACATATTGTTGTTTTTACATATCAATTAGCTAAAACATGACTAAAATTGATCAACATTATTTTGGGAAAAGTGAAAAAATGTTTTATAAAGTAAAATAAAGTGTTTATTTATTACAGTAGTAAACATGGTGAATAAACAGTACTGTAAATTAAATATAGTATACAATAAAGAACTGCTGTACTGTGTATAGAGTACAGCAATGAGGGGTTCGGATTAGTGGATGTTCGGATTACGGGGGTTCGGATTAAAGAGGTTCTACTGTATTGCCAAACGGCTAGATCATTATACAAAATAATAAACTAATCACACACTTTTAACATTTTTTAAAGTGTGTGATTAGTTTATTTTGTATTTCTTCTTATATCTTCTACCAAACTTTGTCAATTTATTTTAAGTAGGCTATAAGGCAATCAAAAGCCTTAGTCATGTCATAAAACAAAGCAAATATCTTCCATGCAATCGATTTTGTCATGAACTGAGGTCAATAAAGAGAGAGCATCTGTAGTCGATTTCTTTTTCCGGAATCCAAATTGATTTTGCAGTAAAATTATGTTTTGTTCTAGGTATGGCAGGAGTCTATTTAAAAAGGCAAAACTTCAAATATTTTAGAGAAGACTGACTGGACCGCAACTGGTCTATAATTACTAATTAAGCTTATCTACATCTTTTTCGTTCTTCTTGTGAATCTGAATTATTTTAGAAGTTTTAATTCCGTCCCTTCGGGAATTTCCCTTCCTTGAAAGATTTATTTATTATTGTCATAAGAGGTTTAGCCACCAGGTGAGCACAAGAATTCACGATGGTAAATGGAATGTGGTCTATACCAGAACTAGGTTTACTACATGATGATTCAATTATCTCCAAGATTTCTTTCCCATCGATAGACCGTAGACTCATCAAGTTGGAATTTGCCTGCTCTACCGTAACATCTTCCTGTGAAATACCAATGTCATGGCTACCACCCATGACACTAATAACTTCCTCTTAAAAGAATTTATTAAAAGCAGGCCTATCGGCAATTATCACCGGATCATCCAGGAACCTATCATTTACTGTTAAGCAGCCCAGATAGGCCTACTGTATTCTCATTGACAAAATTATCTTTATTCAGGCTCAGGCTACAACCATAGACTAACCAACACAAGTAGACTTCTCACCCCATTATAAATTTTGAAGCCTGTTTTTCGTGTCTAGTTCATGTACCCGGTGACACTGGATGCTAGTGTCAACAAAATTTGTTTCTATTATTTTGGGGACAATTTCTTGAATTGTGCTTTACTGTTTGGTTATATAAGTAGGGGACAAGTTATTGTTTATGGTTAGATCGTATTATTTGGTTAAACGAGGTTTTAAATTACTTTAATTACGGGAAACAAATTGTAAACAAAACACGACCTCTACATAAACCGTACAGAACTAACAATAAAATTGTCTTCAGCTGTTCCATAGGGATGAGAAATCTACTAAGGGAGTATGTTTTATCTATGCTACAACTCTTCATTCTTGGACGCCAAAATAATTCTTCTTGCAAGAGCTAACAGATTGAGAATGCTGTTTTTTTGCTTCAATATATCTTGACATTATCTCCGTGATATCCGAACACCTTTACTGGAGTCATCTAGTAAAGATCAGTCACTCTTACGAGATCCCCTCACCTCTTCACTTTTCCAGTTTAAATCGCTATTATTATTTACTTTAATCAACGATTTAGGGAAACATACAGCAAAGTAATACATAAAACTAACATAAAAACGTCAAATAAATCATCAGTGCCTCTAATATCATCGTCTATAGGCCAACACTCGTGACTCAAATAATACTAAAATTCCTCCATTCCAGTTTTTAAAATTCTTGGTTTCTCAATCCTATAACTAACCTTACTAATCATCCCCCACTTTAAATCAATGTGCAACCAGCTATGATCAGACATTGGAGTGGCCATATTTATACAATTTATGTATTGAATATCATCGCTAACAAATTAGTCTATTAAGGTACCGGGTAGCTGTATTTTTTTTTACCCTAGTACAGATTCTTCTTAACTGTTTTTACTAATTTATGGGACCTAATAACATCCATAAAGCATCTCCTGTGCAAGGTAGGTCAGATCTTCATTGTATCTCAATATTCTCAATGTGGTATCTCAATATTCTATCAAATATCTCAATAAACTGATAGAAATTAAAATCATAAGGTGGTCTGTATGTAAAATATATAGGTTCTAGCTACTAGAAAAATAAGGTTTCAAGTTAAGCAAACTGCTTATTTTGATGTTATTATAAATGTAATAACGTACCGGTAAACCAATTCTTAAAGTTTTCACTTAGGCCTATTCTTTTTAGTCCATAGTCGTATTGATAAATATTATTGCACAAAAGGGAAATTTTGAAAGTGGTTGACAATATATTTTCTAATTTTTAACTGCTAAAATAAAACTAGACCAAAGTTATAATCCTATACTTAAACGAATTGATACTTTTAAGAATCGATTAGCCTATCTCAATTATTCGCTGTTAGAAAATGATTACAAACAAAAAGTTAATGTATTTATAACAAATGCATTCTTATCACAAAATTAAATTATAAATGTCTCAAATAAAAAAAAAACTAATTAGTGAACTTAAGAGAAAATCACATTCTAACAAAATCAGAAGCAAAATGTTAATGCCACCGAGGAGATTCGAACCTAGGATCTCACGATGGTCACACGATCGTCAGTCGGGTATTCTAGCCACTACACCACCAACGCTGTTTAACCATCGGCGTCGACACGATATTTCTGTTCCGCAATCCCAGTAACTGGCGCGGCAACTAACAATGCTTTTAAACGTATGTGAAAATATTTCCACGATCCCAGTGGCTAACTCCAACCCCTCACAACAATAATACTGGTAAACAGTTATTGAGGCAATTGAATTGGTGAGTTTTATGAATGAGTATAACATTTTTTTAAATCGTAGTTATGTACCGTAATTCGGTTTTTGTGACAGCAGAAAAATTTTTGCACCATTGTTTTCAGGTAAAAATCTATAGTTCGGCCGCTTAGAAAGTGACCTCCTCCAGCATTGGTTTAGCATTAGCGCGCAGGTCGTTTTCTAAACGGCCGAACTATAGTTTCTAATGATATATAAATTACTCTTGGTCACCCTCCGTCCACAATAATTTCCAACTAATTGAATTTCTCTTAAAATACATTGTTCACTTAACCGCCCAACAGACCGTTTAAACAAAATATATGAATGCAGCAATAAGTTACCACCAATAAGTTTTATCTGAAAATAGGAATGACTTACAGCCTATCCACAAAACCAATCTAAGTAGGCCTACCAATCATATCTCCAAACATTAATACCGCCAAAGTACTCTCTTTTAAATGTAAATAGTTAAAGTAATATAAGTATTTAGGTCTATGTAACTTAGATGTAAGTTAACTTAATTTGATCTAGAAATTAGTTTTGAAACATTAAAATCTAAACTCTAGGCCTATTTTAGTCACTTATAGGTTCTTATTCAAAGGATATTTTTCAAAACAGTTTTTCTCTTATTCTGTAAAGTTGAAGATTCGTCAGATAGGCCTAGGCGGTTTTGTTTCTTCATCGACGTTTTGCTATAGCCTAGCCCATAACCTCTGATCCAGGCTGCACAGTTAAGCTGTCAGATAAGTAAAATGAATTGAGAACATTCTGATATGTGTTAATTCCAAGTAAGTTAACACTGGACCCAGCTGTTCCTGATCATTGGGCTTTAAATAAATGATCCTGACTAATGAAACCGCTGATCTTAGTCAGTAACAAAGCTACACAGGTCATCACACACCATTCTACACTCATCCTTCACTCATATTTGGGTTAAAATACGCACCTAGGTGGCGTCCCCATCTCAATAATTGATTGATTGATTATATTATGAAGAAATAAAATAATGTCTCAAACTAGGTTAGTAAAATTTAAAATTGGGTGCGACCGAGTCAAAAGTGTCTAGGCCTAATTAGACCTTCTTCAATGCAATTAAACTCAAGTTATGTATGTATTCAGTAAGACCCCAAATATAACATTATATCAAAATATCCCTCTCTACATTTCTGTAACTGCGTTACAGCGAAAGAAATAATAATTACTTATGATGCAATTTACAAAAATATATTGAGTAGCCTAGTCAAGCATTCACAGAGAACATCGTTTGTCTAAACATTGTCGAAGGTTCTAGTTCATGCTTATCATCACTAATAATTCAAAAATTTAACTTACATCTTTAATCGATGCATTTTCCTCAACTTCAACAGTCACTTTGTCTTTCGGCGTTTTCACTGTCACATTTATCTTTTTAGCACTATCCTGACCTTCCGCCATTTTTGACAAACCTACAGCCGATATAATGGACCAAAACGAGAATGACTCGCCGATTGCTAGCTGGCTGTTCGGCTTTCGGCTGCTGTCGCTGTCACCGTTAAACGTCATGCACAATGCTGCCATTCCTCCCCTTAACAGGCGAAGATTCGAAACATAATAAGATACTATCTATAAACAGTTTACAATAATTAGGAGTTAGTTCTTTGGTTCAAAATCAAAACACTTATTAAGTACACAAAGCGTTTTCTTAGTGACTTTCTTTTGGTGCACTGTCCCTTGTAACCCTCTCCTTACATTATTTCTTTAATTAATTCAATCATTTCTTATTTGGTAAATAAAGAATTTGACTTATGACTTACTCTTGTTCCTCGTTTTTTTTAATGACCTTCCTGTAAATATTAGCATAGACCTAGATTAATCTCAATCCCTTTCATATTAGTTGTAAAAAAATCATTGCTGATAACTACGACACATCATTTTTCTGCTGAGGTAATATCTTCCCAGTGTCAAGTAATGAGTGCCTTCAACAACCGGTGTCAAATGAAAATTACATCGATTTCAGCAAGACATTCAACAAGTTCAACCACTACCTCCCCCAGCTCCTGGCAAAGCTTGAAAGCTATTGGATAATCGGTACTGTGCTGAACTGGTTTGAAAGCTACTTGACATTCGCCCAGAGTGTACTTCCCATCGATCCTCCAGGATTTATTGCAAGCTCGGGTGTCCACCAGGGATTTCATCTGGGATAAATTCTGCTCTCATCAGTCTTCACTTCATTAATGATGTTAAAGGCGTAATAGACATTCATTTCCTCCTTTTCGCAGACGACATCAAGTTCAAAGAGGTGAAATCACGACAAGACTTCTCACTGCTACAGAGAGCTTTAGAGAGTGTTCAGTAATGGTGCTCAACGAATGGGATGTACAGAGTGTCACTGACCATACAAAGCGTCTACAGCCTGACTGATCACTTACTTATTATTGCAAAGATAAAAAAATGGTATCAGCATTCTGACACATACTTTCTCCCATAAGCTTGTCAACAACATTTATCATGGGTAAGCAGTAGGAGTAAATATGATATTTTAAAGTTGAAAATCACAAAAGTTGCAATAACTTTTGAACCGTAATTGTTGCAGCAATGGGGGTTGTACTATTTTTTTTATCATAAGGACCATAACATATTGATTTTGATCAAAACCAGCTTTTGTCCAAAAATCAGATTTTTGTTATTTTACAGAATTTGGATTTGTACCATTTTGTTCAGAGTTTAAAGCACTATAACATACCAAATTTTTATAAAAATCGTTATTCGGGCAATTTTTTTGAAAATCTGATTTTCCCGTTATTTTATGGGGTTTTATGGAAAATCAACATTAAAAATCAAAATTTCAAAAAAATGAAAAAAATGCCTGGAGATACCGTTATGGGTACAACGCCAGCCTTCCTGGAGCTAATCCTAGCTGAATTTATTTATTTAAGGTGACCTAAGGTGATTTAAGGGCACAATCAAAACTTTAATAAAAACATTTACTTTGCATATATCCATTCACATATTTCCTTTGGTATCGGTCTATATGGAGCAACAACTCAAATCAATCTAGATAAAATATTAAAACATCAAAAAAGAGCAGTGAGAGTAAAGCTCAGACTAAATTCTGATGTCTCGGCAAAAGAGCACTTTAAAAAGCTAAACATACTAACTGTTTATGGGCAATATATTTATGATTCAATTTTAATTTTTAAAAATAAAACCTCATCCGATGTATCCAATCTACCGGTTCACCGATATGAAACGAGAAAAAAATCTGATTTTGCAAAATAGGCACAGATTAAAGTTTTATGAAAAAAAGCCGTAATTTGCTGGTAAAAGTTTTTTAAACATATCCCCGGAGGAATTAGAAATGAAAAAGATCCAAAAAAGTTTAAAACAAAACTAAACATTTCTTAATAAACATGGCAATTTATTCTCAAGAAGAATTTTTCCACCTCCCTCAAGAATACTAGATATTAAGAAGGCATCTGTATGGGGAGATGTATTTTTTAATTTAAGATTTATTTTTAATCTGTACTTTATATTTTAATAAAATTGTAATCTTTGACACTATTCAAATGCTGTATTATATATACTTCTCAATGAATAAAGAAATTGAAAATTGAAATTGAAAAATTATTGGTAGCAGGAGCTAGATAATTATTAAAGATGTATCAAATATAAATACAGGGACAAAATTATTCTTATGAGAGGTTTAAATAAAAATTAAAAATAATAAATGCATCATATTTATATTTTTCAAAGCTTAATGAAACATTTAAAGCATTCGCCTTGGTTTTGTGTAAAAAAAATGAGGTTAGATGTCGACGTCATCGGTTTCGGCTGCCGCACGTCGTCACTACAGTAATCAGTTCACTACACTACGCAACTTGTGGAAGTGGAACCGCCATTACTGTTAGTTGCCATAAACAGCATTTTCTTCAGGTCGGATCTGTTCTGTTGGTTGGAGCGGATTCGGATTTGGATGCGTGCCGTTTGGTATCAGAACAACAGAGTAGATTTTCTGGCGAGGATATTTTGAATTTAATTCAAAATTTCAAAACTTTCAATAGTTGTGTTTAGTTTGTTTTGTTTTTGCACAGTCTAACAATAGTGAAATCATGGATGATGACTCTGCTGAGTTTGATGTAATCGATGGGGTACGTCTAGTTAAATTAAAGCCTAAGCCTAAAAAGAATAAATTAGTTGCTCATGATAACACTAATATTCATATAGAGGAAATTGATGGAGTTCCAGTTGTTAGGGTAGAACAAAAGTTCCTTAAAGACAGACGGCCGATTTGGTCTGATATGGAAATCAGAGAACTAATTTCCATAATGAAAGAGAAGGAAATAATGCCTTTACTGAGTGGAAGGCAATATAGGAGGTCAGATGTTTTTAAAATAGTTGCAGATAATATGAATAAAAGAGGCTATAAAAGGACCACAGAACAAGTCAGCATTAAGTGGAAACACCTTAGATTGTGCTACTTTAGATCAAAATCTAAGTACCAAACTGATGATGAAAGAAAATTGGAATTTCCGTTTTACGAAGAAATAGATGAATTATTTGGTGGGAGAAAGCCTGCAGACAGTTTTATATCAATTGAACAATTCAATGAACTGCTCAATAGAAGACAGATGCAAAGCGTAGAAATCGATGGATCTAAATTCTTTGAATCAAACAATGTTCCTACTAATCCTGCTGGTAAGTTAAATCAATCATATTTTATATGTATATATTGTATAACTTAACTTAGTTCAATAATTAGTGGCCTAACTGCCTAGTGCGGAAAGTGGCACTTTGCTGGGACGGTGGCGTCATACTGTAAGTAAATCCAGCTAAATTACTGGGATGTAACAAATTGTGGATATTTATAGGCATGCACTGTAGATGCGATAAACTTACTCCATTTTGTGGGTTAATGTCCGCACTAGTGAGTAACTTGGGTACAGTTTCTTAACTGGGCTAACTACGCTAATAGGCCTATCGATTGAAACTAAGTTACCGTATCGATTCAATTAGTCTTCATGCGATGTTTTCATCAGCAAGTTTGGTTAGTTAGGTTAGGTTACAGTTTAATTTTACAATAGATATATTTTGAAGATATCGATTACCAAGCAATATTTTCAATTCGATAGTTTCAATCGATATTAGCATAGCTCAGTTAAGAAGAACGTGGTAATCTTACATTTACACTTTTTTGTGATTTTTTCCGTAACCGTTAGACATAGGCCTACAACAATGCTTCAATAGGCTAAATTATTTGTTTTTTGAGCTCTACAAAATGGTTTGGAAAGAAATTGCAAAATTTTATGTTTTCAGGGTGAAAAATGAGAAAACCTCATATACTTAAACCCCCCGTAAACCCCTGTACCAATAGTCCGGTTATGCTGGTTTGCGAACTCGTTAGAATAAATGTAGATTTACCGGTACACGTTTATACAAAATTTCATCAAAATCGGTTCATTTTTGCTCGAGTCATTGCGCATTTTTGATACTGTATCGTTAGTTCATTGTGTTTCAGCCACTATTTAATTGTGCAAAAACAGTCTGGAAGTTGCATAAATTAATGAGTCGGTTCATTATAACCTAACCTATACCTTCCTAATCTAACCTCACTTCAAAACTCTTAATACAGTCACGAATTCGCATAAAACCCGACCTACCTTCCTCACATGCCTAAATAAGAACTGATTATTTGGTTTCAAAACGAATTGATTTGATTTCATTCCGCATTAGATCAAGTATTTAAACAGTTGTTTGCTCTTCTCACTCAGTCCTCACTCCTCACTCTTCACTCAGTATGGACCCGTCCAGACCACGCCATATTACCATTAGCCTACCACCTTCAGTACCGCTCAATTATCCTTAGATTCGTAATCCTAACCTTCGTTTTACGGCCACTTAGGAATCTCTCCGACAAAAACTGATTGCATTTTTGGATTCAGCGTTATAAAACTGTAAGTAGACATATAAAAATTACATCATATCCCAATGTAAATACGGTAGGCCTACTGTAAATATTTGCCAAAAGCACTTAAAAAAAAAATTATGAGTAAAATTTATTTAAACTTAGGCAGAAAGTTAATGAAACTAAGAATTATTGACAACAGACAGAAACACAATAATTTTATGTTGGTAAGTTAGTCATCTAAGAAATGTGATCAATAGTTCCTTGATGTATTAATATTATGTTTGTTATTAGATTCATGACCAATTTCTCTTGTACAACATTTAGCAAGGAATACGGTCATTCATAGCCTATAGTTTATAACAGTTTATTTTGGTTTTTAAATAAAATGCAAGTATTTAAGAACTTAAAAGCAAATCAAATTTTATCACCAATAAAATAATTTGACACAAAAGTACAAAAGGTTCTATTTAACTATATTAAATTGCTAGTCTACAATGTTCAAAATAAATTACGTAAAATTTATACACATGTATAATTTTAATGCTTGAATAATTCATAAGAGTAAATGACAAAGCAATGCTTCTAAAAAATCTGAATTTGTATGTA